ACACATGAGAACCCTCCCTTCTCCAGCTGCTAGAACTGAGTGTCCTGAGACCTGCATTTTCCTGAGACTTCAACAACACTGAAAAATACTTAGCCTGGCTGCCCTGGCTGGAGCATAGGCTTTCTTCCATGAATCAGATGTGTGTTCTCAGTGAAATCACTGCATTTTACTCTGGACTTATCCCAACAGTTGTTCCAAGGAGCATCCATCTGGAAAAGAGGAGGAAGGGATATACTGTCTAAAACTTGGGATTTTGTTTACTGGCTCTTTTTTCCTTCTGTACAAATGAGAGGTTTTTTTTTTGTTTTGTTTTGTTTTGTTTTTTAACTGTCCCAGTTGTATTTTAAATACCTGTCCCCATTAAAGTATACTTAGCTCATAATATTTGCAGAAAACATGCCATATATTAGGTAAGAATAAAAAATAGAAGTTTCTTTAGTATGGGTATGTGTTTCTACCTATTACATCATTTTCCTGAAATGTGCCAGCCATCATTTCATGCTTGCTGAAAAATTGACTAAATGTCCCTGCCATGAGGTATGGCAAAGCCAGTGCTGTGTTCCAGACTTGCTTGAAAGAACAAAAAGCAGTTTGGAGCTCACTTCATGCATGTCTGGCTCTTACAAGAGTAGAACATGCTGGAGACAAGAAGCTCTCAGCATTCCTCCTCCTCCTGTCTCATCTTTCTGCTAGTCATCTGATGAAAACAGGACCCTCCTCTGCCCCACAACCATGGTTCTGCATCTTCACATGGAGTCTGTGTTCACCCTGAGATGAGAAAGCCAAAGGTCTAAATAGCAGGTTTCAGTTCTCTAAAAGGTGATTCAAGTTCAGTCGCATATTGGTAGACATTGCAGCAATCCGTCGTAGGGTTATTGCCGTGGCTTTTGCTAGAGCAGAGAATAATCTCTGTCTTGCAGACGCCTAGATGCCATCAGAGAGATGACACATGGCTAGAGATGCCAAGATAACCCAGATCTTCCCCAGAACTTAGGAAACCTGGTTCCTTACTAGCAGCACCCCAGGTCCATTCTTGAAGCCCTCTACCATCCTGAGCTCTCCCCAAACAATACCCATATCCACAGGTATATGTGGGACCAATGTATTGTGAGGTTTGGGTGGCCTCCTTTCCCCTTCCTTAGTAGCATACAGTAGTATATGAAAACCTAGATCTTCTGACTATTCTTCCAAATTCTAGCAGCATGTTGATTCATTTTGAAATTGCAGTAGAATGCCCTGCCTGCTGTAGAATATATTCTGCTTATTCTACAAGCATTGCAGGGATGGCAGTCCTTCAAGCTCATCAAAGGTCAGGATCATTCTGCATTCTTAGAGCTTCCTACATCTGGCACAGAATAGACATTGACGGAGTAACCGGGGAACTGAACTGATGATTCTGGAGCTGGGGAATATGCTCTGTGAATTGCTAAGATGTTTCATTTTTCTCTCCCCACCCTCTTTCCAGGGAGAATCAACAGCGTTTGCAAGAAGAATTTTCAGACATGATCCTCAACTCTTTACAGAAAAGACAGGCTGCAGGAATAAAAAGCCGAAAACCAACACGGGTGGCCAGCTATAAGAAAGGCACTCTGGAATACCTGCAACTGAACACCACGGACCAGGAGAACACCTATTTTTAGACCAATGAAAGTTTAAGGACTTACACGCACCAAATCCAGCTGCACTTAGGCAGCAGCCTCAAGTGTCCTGAGGCTTGCATTTTCCTGAGACCTCAGTGACACTGAAAATACTTAGCCTGGCTGCCCTGGCTGGAGCATAGACTTTCTTCCATGAATCAGATGTGTGCTCTCGGTGAAATCACTGCATTTTACTCTGGACTTATCCCAACAGTTGTTCCAAGGAGCATCCATCTGGAAAAGAGGAAGACATGTACTATCTAAAACTTGAGATTTTTGTTCTTATTTTATGTATTTCATGTTTGTTTTATTGTTTTATTTGTGGATTTTTAAAACTGGTCCCAACTGCATTTGAGCTATCTCATCTCCATTTAGATATCTTATCTCCATTTAAACCCCTTATCTCAAAATTTTTGCAGAAAATATGCTAGATGTTAGGTAAGAATAAAAGTTTTGAAGTTCCTGAGTCTAGGTCTGGGTTTCTACCTGTTTTCCTGGAACGTGCCAACTATTATCTTCTGCTTGCTGAAAACTGACTAAATGCTCCCTCAATGAAGCATGACAAAGCTAGCTGTTGCTCAAGGGTGAAAACCTGCCAGGGAAGTTTCACCTGCTGAATGCAAGGGGATTTTAACCTTTAAACAGAGACCTTGCCTTGGGTTGTCCCATTTAGCAATATGGACATGTAATACAAGTAATGCCAGTGACCTAAGAATGGCACCCAGGCAGGGGTCCAATGCCTACTCTGCTTTTTTCTAAAAAAAAAAAAAAAGTAATAATCTCTAAAGCACCTGATGTTTTTCAAAATGTAATCCCTTCATTAATTGAGGCATGATGAGTGTGTGTGTGTATGTGTGTGTGTTATAAGATATGTAAGGTAGATCAGGATGTTTCAGTGTTGAATACCTTGAGTTCTAGGAGGGAAAGCAGAGATTATAAACAGAAGGAATGGACAAATTATAGGGGGAAAAATACTCAGAATTCTGTTAAAATTATACACCACCTAGAGGTGGATTTAAAAACAAAACAGACATAAGTACTTATGGAGAAACTATAGAAGATCCTAAGGGTTTCTAGACAAAGAAAAATATTTCAAAGCAATAAGAATTAGATCAACACTAGATGTTTCAGCAAGAATACTAGATGTTAAAAGAAAATTAATCAATAGCTTCATATTTCTGAAGAAACATAGTTATTAATCCAGAATTCTCTTCACATATGCAAGAGCTCAGAAAGTTTTACCATGCATAAACTCTACCTGAAAGAAGAATAAGGGCTGGGGTTGTAGCTCAGTGGTAAGAGCACTTACCTAGCATGTGTGAGACCCAGGGTTTGATTTTCAGCACTGCATAAAAATAAATAAATGTATAAAAAAGGCTTCCCATCTTTTAAAAATATATTTTTTAAAAATTGCAAAAAAAAAAGAAAGAAGAATAAAAGAAGTACTCTGTGAATACAAGAAATAAATTCAAGAGGAAGGCATGGATACTACAATCAATCTTCATATATTTGGTTATATATGCTATTCTTAAAAACATGCAAGGTCTGACTATAAAATATTAAAGTAATAATGATACTAAATCAATTAGACATGTGTTTCATTTGTTTAATGCCAGATATCCAGTATCAAAAAAGTAAATAAAGAGTGTATATTGAGGCAGGAGTATAGGGTTAAAGTTTAAGTTGGTGACTGCTAAAAAAAAAAAGAATGGCATGCTCTGTGCTTGAGATTAGTGGCAGGAAGACCTTCTCCAACTACAGCTATTGTTTAGGACAAAAGAAGAGAAAGCACGGAAACTGCCTAAGCAGGTTTTTAAAAAAATATTTATTTTCTAGTTGTAATTGAACACAATATATTTATTTTATTCATTTATTTTTATGTGGGGCTGAGGATGGAACCCAGAGCATCACACGTGCGTGGCGAGTGCTCTACCGCTGAGCCACAACCCCAGTCCCTGACTAAGCAGATCTAACAACAATCACAGCCATTTACCCCAAAGCAACCGATGCTCATTGAAACGCATTTAAATGCTAAAAGACATGCTGTGTATTTTCAAAATGCAATATTTAGCTTTACATGTAAAATGACTTGGGATGTTAGAAAGGCAGCTGGAGGGGAGAACAGAATGAAAAGTTACAAGCAGTTAACACAGGGTGTAAAAATTCACAGCCCCTTGACTGTGAAGGAAGAGCACCAATCTGACCAACAGAAATAAATTGTATATGTGCCCAAAGGCACTCAATCCAAAAGCAATTGATTCCAGGGGGCTCCCCCCGCCCCAAGAGAACAAAGGGAGTTGGGGACAACTTTAACCAGATAGGAGACAGTATAACTTAGGAGACATTTATTCAGGAAGACTGTACACCTCATAGTACTCAGTCAATGAGGATACAGGGGAAGGATCTCATGCTCTAGAGGATAGCATGCTGGTTGTACCCCGTATGAGGGTGCCTGCTCCCCTAGACACATGCTCTTACAAGACTGTCATTAAAGTAAAAATCCTTGCTTTTTCCACACCTCTTAGCCCATTCTTTGGGTTTGGACAGGTAAGCATGTTTCTCACAATGACCAGCAGGAAGACTTTACACAATTTTAGACACATTTTTTGTGTGCACATTAGTACAGGCACAATGACAAAATGCAACATAGTTTATGAATATATTATTTTCTAACCCCCAAACATTTATATGCTCTTTACCCCTTATCTCCTTGGTTCTCTGACTATGGGATCGCTATATTAATCAGTGCAGCAAATAATTCTCATCAACCCTCTCTTTGTTAACCATGTTTGATTTCTGTCCTGCAAGAGCTAAAAAGAACCACTAACCTGGAAACAAAATGAGAAAAATAAGTTTTGTCCTATTTTCCTTCCTTGTAATACTTTGAAAATCAATGGAAATAATTTGTAAAAGAGAAAACTCCAAAGGAACAACCACCAAAAAATGCTCAGAAATTTCAACTATAAAATCTAATGCATACCTGTTCAAAAACTGACCTTTGGAATAAAACAAGAGAGGAACCTCAAATCCGCATTACTTCCTCAGACCTCAGAGCAAAAAAAAAAAAAAAATCCTTCAAAAGTTAATTATTCTGAAAGGTTTGTCTGTTAATCTCTGAACTGAGGTGACCAGATCTAGGCCATGCGGAAGAAAAACTATGATGACATATCATTTTTAGGTCTACAACATAACATTCTACTGGAAGGAGATGCCAGCATAAAGCAAAGAAAGGAAGGGTGAGAAGGCCCTGGTCACCATAGCAACAGAGATACTGCAATTTAAAGGGCTCAGCTATGAGTTACATTAACCATTCAGTGGAGCCATTCAGTGTAGTCCACTGGAAAAATAATGGGAACCATTTCTTATCTTTTAATTCTGAAAGGCTAATACATTTATAGAAAAATGAAAAGTTTTTGGTCCAGATGAGATGATGTACATTAATTTCTCCCTTCTCTTCCCCTCTAACTACAACTAGAGACCCGTGATGAAATGTAGAAATAATCAAGGTAGAATTCAAAAGGTGGAAAGAGGAAGGCAGATTGGTTACGGACTCCAGACTGGGACAACATTACAACAGAGGGTTTCACTTTGTTCCACCCAGCAAAAGAAGGGAAAACCTGTGTGATGTCCAACAAATCCACAGAATAAATCATTTTTGGAGCTTTATCAAAATCAGTTGGCCCTACAACAGTGATGATACTTTTTATGCCATTGACTTACGTGTCTATGTCTTCTCTAATGCCACATAATTTTAATTACTTGTTGCTCTATAATAAATGTTAAAATTAGGTGGAGTGCTTTTTCCCATATTATTGTTTCTTTTCCCAAAATTTTTAGCTAGTAGAGTTTCTTTTTCTTTCTATGTAAATTTTTAGAATAAGCTTGTCTATGGCTATAATAAATTGCTAGGAGATTGATATCATTTGTATCAAACCAATGTATCAGTGTGGAGAGATCTGGCATCTCTATGCTGAGTCATCCAGTCCATGAGCATGATATGTCTCACCATTTGTTTAGGTTTTCTTACACATGTGCGATTCAAATGTTAACTCTCGTACTTTTAAAAAGTCAAAATAAATAGGTAAATTATTCTAATAGTGTATTTCATTAAACCAGTGTATTTAAAACATTGTCATCTCAGTATAGAATTATTAATTAGATACCTTTATTCTTTTTATGGTGTCTTTAAAAGCAGTGTATATTTTACACTTAATTCAAACTAGCTACATTAAAAGTGCTTGAGGTCACTTATCACTAGTCACGACTAATTATTGGACAGCTCTGCTCCAGAGCTCTGCCCTCAAATTGGGAAACACTCCTTTTTCAGGGAAGGACAAGAAAACTATGGATTGACTGAGAAAGTAAGAGGATCTATTTACACACTTAAAAAAAAAAACATATATATATATAGTACATGGACACAATGCCTTTATTTTATTTATTTATTTATTTTTATGTGGTGCTAAGGATCGAACCCAGTGCCTCACACAGGCTAGGCAAACCCTCTACCACTGAGCTACAACTCCAGAGCCCCTATTTACACTCTCAAACCAGTCACAGATAAAACATGAATATCAAAATTATCTGATAGCAAATTTTAGATAACTATTGTCAAAAGCTGTAAAGGAAAAAGTAAACATTGTACAAGTTAAAATGGGCAATTTTAGCATAGAATTGAAAACAACAGGAAAAAAAAAACAAATGAAATTCCTACAAATAAAAACATACTAACCAGAGATGAAGGATAACTTTAATAGGCTTATCAGCAGACTTCACACAGTTAATGAAAGGATCAATGCACATGAAGATAAGACTAAAGAAATTATGCAAGCTAACAAGAGATAAAAAAAAATGAATAAAGCCAAGCAAGGCTGCTGAGGGCTGTGGGACAATATCAAAAGGTGTCACATCTATGTAGTCAGAATCCCAGAAGACAGAACAATGCAGAAAAAAATATTTGAAGGAATAATGGCTGATAATTTGCCTAATGTAATGATGCCAAACCACAGACCCAAGAACCTCAGAGAACTCCAGGCAGGATAAGTACACAAAACCACTGTCAAGCACATTATATTCAAACTGCTGGGGGAATAAAACAAAGAAAAAGTTATGAAAGCAGTCAGAGGTTGATGAAAAGACACATTGTACATGAAGAACAAATATTAAGAATCCCTGGGTATGGCAGTGCAGACCTGTGATCCCAGCTATGCTGGAGCTGAGGCAGGAGGACTTGAAGTTTGAGGCCAGTCTGGGCAACTTAGTAAGACCCTGTTTCCACCCCCCCAAAAATGTATATATGTGTGTGTGTGTGTGTGTGTGTGTGTGTGTGTGTGTGTGTGTGTAAAAGACAATGGAATAACATCTTCATATACTAATGGAAAAAAATGGAATTCTATGTCCAGCAAAACATATATTTCAAAATGAAGAGAAAAAAAAAGAAGTGAGAATTTATTGCTAGTGGATCTA